GAGACTTCCTTTGGAAATTTTTGCCCCCTTTCCCCTTTTCTTTTTTTTTTTTCCGGCGGGGGGGGGTTTTTTGCTTAATGGACGGTGGATTCCACAAGGTAAGGGGAGGACTCCTTCGTGGACCCCTTTTGGGGGAAAAAGGCCCCCCTTTTTGGGGGGGGGGGGGAAATTTTGAAGGGGGTTCCCCAGGGGTTTTCGTGGGGCCCCCAAGAAATCTTTTTAAAGGTTGGGGGCAGGGGTTGAACCCCCCCGGGGGGGGGGGGTATGTCTTTTTTGAGAAAGGGGGACAGGGTGCTGCCAGGGGGGGATATTTCCAGGGTGAAAAACAAAACCCCACCCCCCCGCCCATAATTTTTTTTCCCCCCGAGATAACCCGTAAAAGGGTTTGAAGGGGGGCTGGAAATTTTTTGGAACCCCCCCCCCCCCCCCCCCGCAGCTTTCCATCGTGGTATGCATATGATGGTTGGCAGCAGCCTGCCCGTGTCTCCACGTGTGTACCATGGTGTATTTTTCTCCGCCTCATCGCAGCAAAGGCGTTGGGTGTTGGAATCGACGAAAAAATGCTTTGCTGCTCACAGGCAGGCTCACCTATCTAACAGGCTAATCATAGTCAGGCTGTGGGTAGCCTCGTAGCCAGTGCTTGGAGGTTGGTTATGCTGGCATGAAGGTGGTGCTGAGTATCGTGCGTTTTTCTTCATGTTTTAGAAACACAGCACGTGTTGCACTGGTGTCGGTTGGACCGGTACTACCGGTGATGATATTCTAACGTAGGAGGTACTGCTGAGCACAGACCGGAACGAATTTTTTACGTTAACACAGCAACGCCAACTGCAACAATGACAAATGGCAGGCGGACCAGCGTGATCCGGGCGACCAGGAAGAGAACACGTGCTTGAGGGACGACAGGGGCCTCCCGCAGGGGAACTTCCGCGCTCAGTTCGACGACTTCAACGAGGGGAAGCTGCTGCGAATATCGTCTGACGCCCTCGTTGCGGAGGCGACCGGGGATGCATCCACGACTGGATTCCTCGTGCGCGACACAGACTTTTGGGTGAGCACGCGAAGGCGTTGCCGAAAGCCGTCGAACCAGGATCGGAAGGTGTTTTGTTGGGGTCCACGCAGACAGGGAGATGGGATTGGGGGGTGCGCTTCAGCCCTTGTTGACAATCCAGCACCGCGTGAATCGAACCCTCGGCACCCGACGGTGCTGGTGAATTGGCACTTGTTTTGTTAATTTTGTGTATGTCGGGCATGCTTGCTCTCTCACGGCGGCACGATCGCGTGTTCTTGTGTTTGCGGTTGCGGTTGGTTGCCCTTTGTCTTTGTCTACCCAGCCCCGATATCTTGAAGGACGCACCAAGTCTGACTTTTGTCTCTACCCAGCCCGAATATATCTTGTTACGAGTATACACCTTGCCAGACCTTGCACATGCTAATGTTAATGTTGCCACGTTTAACAGCTAATTGTACGCTTGAAACGCCTCCTTTTATCCTGCTTGTTTGTCGCGCGGCAATACCGTAGCTTGAGGCCAAGGGTTTCCGTAACCCCTTCCGGCTGGCCGTTTCTCCTGTGTCCGGTGATGTCATCATCGCGGACGTCGGGCTTGACACGGCGGAGAGCATCAAGGTCGTGCCCAACCCCCTCGAGGCCGCGGAAACGGTCAGCATGCCCAACTACGGTTGGCCTTGCATCGAGGGGGACGCCTGGATACCGCCCTATGCAGCGGAGTGAGTAGAGTACCGTACATGACACAAGATAACACACCCCCTGGACCGATTTTCAAAGCTCGATTTCTCGACCGCAGAGCGAGTCACAGCGCCTGAAAACGGCGTCGTTGAAGCCGCCTTGTCGAGAGCTTTCCGAAAATGTGTCGTTTCGTTTATACATGTTCTTCGTCGTGGCGCAATCGAGCTTTGTAAATTGGTCCAGGGGGTGTGTTATCTCGTGTCGTATACGGTAGACAAGAACAAGAGATTTAGTTGTGGTGGTTGTGGTGATGTGTTGCAGTCGTGAGGTGCAGGCAGTTCAGTGCAGTGCAGTGCAATGCAATGCAATGCAGTGTGGAGTATGCTGGCATTCACAACTTCACAACCGCTCGTTGCCTTGTTTCAATTATTTTGTACGCAAGACTCAATCCAGCTCTTCTCGTGGCACCATACATATGCTGCTATGCGTATCATACAACACATATAGTCACATTGGGTGCACCCCTGATTTGCCGATTGCCCCACAAACGATCGTTCTCGAAGCGACGCTATCATAGTCGCATAGACGCCTTTGTTGTGACCCCTCAATGCATGTTGCGTTTCGATGACGTTTTGTGCCCTATTTTTTTTGTCCTTGCTGCGATGGAGATCTTGTTTTTTTTATTGTTCGAATCAAATCACATCCAAATATCGAGTCAGAGCGGCGATGGGTGTCTCTGTTTCTTGTACTATTGTATCCGAATCAAATTCACGTCAAATTAAATTGAAGGTGGCTGGCGGACAACGAGAGCGACGCCTGCGATGATGTCCGTGACACCACCCTCGGTCTTCCTCTCGACATCGACTACGACGCCTTGAAGACCAAGGCGTTGGCTGGACAAGTGGATTGGGTGCCGCCGGCCTACGTCTACCTCGACGGTACGTTCCGTCATTTGTCGGTCATTCCGTCACTCTGCGCTGAAAGCCGGGTTCCTGCGGGACATTCTGCCGAAAAGAAGACGAAACGACTTGTCAACGAGGACGTGATGGCTTGTTGTGTGGACAGGGGTGTGCTTCCGTTGGCTTTTTTTGGTACTGCTGTATCACATACTACCGTGAGCTTTGCTATGATGGCTGACTGACTAGCTGTGTCGTTGTGGCTGCCATGGGCGGAAGCAACAGCCTTGATCACCCCCGTGGTTAGCTTACCCTGTCAGGACACTTGGGGTCCTGTGAACTGCAGAGCGTGGTACCCGCCTACTGTCATGAACACGCGCCGTCCACACGCCGGCCATATTCTCGTTGTTTTGTAGCCGCCGCCTCCGCCTCCGCTGCTGCTGTCATGCTGTATGGTAGCCACCGTCTGTGCCGTTGGTGTTGCCACTATTGGAAGTACAAAACACCTCTCGCCATCGCCGTCGCACCCTCTCCCGCTTGGTGGTGCCTGCCGTCGACGTGACGTGACTTGACTTGACTTGACTTGACTTGACTTGACTTGACTTGACTTGACTTGACCGCTAGGCACGATTGATGAGGAGTACCCGGACTTCTGCGCCAACACCCAGTCGTCGGTGTCGGCGCTGCACGTCTACGAAGGCGGTCACCTCCCAGAGCGCTACCACAACAGGCTGTTTGTCGGTGATTACTCCAAGGTATGTAATGCACCGACTGCCGCCTTGCTCCTGCTGTGCTGTGCTGTGCTGCGGTGTGTTGTGTGTGTGTGTGCGTCTGCGTTGCGATCTTGGGCTTTCGTGGCGTGACAGAAGAGAACGACGTTTCACCTCTCATTGATGTCATATGTAACAATCTTGTTGCCCATTCTGTTAATAGCATATGTCGTAGCAAACAGACGTGTACAAGCACTTGTTCGTATAGGTGGACTGGCTACAAGAAATGTGTTGACAGAACACGGCGACTATACTTGTACTGCTGTCGTGCCGGTGTCCAACAACAAGCAAAATCCTTGGTTGTAGAGCGCTCATTGTCTGTTGGTGGAGCCCGCGGTAGTACACACTTCTAAATAGTGGCCCACCTTTGATTCGCGGAACCGCTGGTGTTGAGTCTCCGACGTTTTCGTGCGGTGGTGCGCATACACCTTTTTTTTTTGTTCTGCCTCTTCTTCTTTTTCTTTTTGGCGGTGCTTTTTATTCTTTTTTATTTCCATTTGTGGTCTGATCAGGTTGTTAACCGCTGTTGACCCAACCTCCCGCATCCTCATACGACATGTACGTGTGCATTGCTTCTTTGGTCTCGCCTCGTCCGTCTTGTCTCAGGACTGTGCGTTCTACTTCGATATCGATGAGACGACCGGTGTGGTGGACTGGACCACGCCTCACGTCCTCTTCGAGAGCCGTGCCATCGTCGACTTCGCCACCGACCCCAAGACAGGTAGAGCAGTAGACGAAGTATAAAACTGCTGTTGTATGCTGCCCTAGGTGTCGATCTAATACAGCAGTAGACTATATCGCTGCTGTTGTACATATGTTGCCTAGGTGTCGATCTTGTCTTGTCTATGATAGGCGTTACAGTGTTTCCTTGCGCCGTGCACGCTCTCTCTTGTTCTGGCTATCGGAGAGTTTGTTTTCGTGTTGTGCGATTGAGGGGGGCGAGAACATTTCGTGTGGCTGTATGAAGGCTAAATCAGCGGCGAGGCTTGAAACTACTGGTGATGTTTATTTTCTGGGTGATCCGTGGGTTAATTATGTACTTCTAGCATGGGTACAGGGGATGCCCACATATGATGCACCCGTTCACTCTGTTGCTGCTGCTGCTGCTGCTGCTGCTGCTGCTTCTTCTTCTTCTTCCTCTGTTGCTGCCGTGTACAGGCATCATGTACGCGATTGACGCCAAGTTTTCCATCCTCATCAGGATCATGGCCATCGACGGACCCTTGACATCGGGAGGACCGACCATCGTACTCGAGGCCGATGCCCTCGAAGGCCCGGTAAGAAATAGAAGTAAAACACAAAACAGTGCAGCAGGTGCCCTACATACCTAGCTAGCTGCGGTAGGCTGTCCGCCGTGGCGTCATGTTGTCTGTGCGTCTCGTGTGTGTCTCGAATCCCCGAAAAACATGGACCGTGTTGCCAATTGTAGTTGGAACTCGAGTGAATGGAGCAGCTGCTGTTGTTGGACACTGACTTGAACGCGACCACCTCTTTACCTACAGCGTCACTCGTACCCCCTGTGTCCCTGTCCGCATACCCCCCCCCCCCCCC